TCTTTTGACTGTCAGCTGAGGTTAGCAAAGTAGGCAGTCCTATCACATAATGATTTTGGGAAAACATCTTTTCTTTGTTTAGCCCCAATATCCCAGTAGAGTTCCTTTACGTATTAGTGTGGGGAGGGATGTTATACAGAAACCATTGACTCCAGAAATGGGGTATAGGTTCTTGAGGACAAAGACTTTCATTTTTCATTTTTGTATGCCCAATGCCTTAATCTCAGTGAATTTAAGGCCAAATTTATGTTGGGACTGCCCCAAAGTGCTCGGAGTTTAGTGGCATCTACTCATCTGCTCAACAAACATTTATGTAAACATTTATATAATAAATATAAATATAAATTCTTAAAATCTCAGTATTGAAAAGGACCTCAGGGGTTATTTATTCCAACCCATACCTGATTAGGAATCCCTTCTACGTAAGTAGGCATCTTGTTTTTGCTTCAAGACCTCTAGTCTTTTCTTCTGTAGGGTAAGAAGCTCCAGTTCCTTTAGCCAATCCCTGTATGACTTGGTTTCCAATCTGCTCCCTGTTCCGGTTGGCCATTAATGTGGTACCTAGATCTGAACACAACTTCCCAGGTGTGTTCTGATGAGGCTAGGATTATTTATTACCTTTGAAGATCCTGCTTTTGGGAGAGGGGAAGGGTAGGACTTTCTTTGTATCTCTAGTATTTAGCACCGTGCATGGCACATAGTAGGTGCTTAATAAAATGCTTGTTGACTTCTTTTAACACAGTCTTTTCCCCAATCTTTTTTGGCTTCCTTGTCAAATTGATGATTTCTACTGATTTTGTAGCCTGTTGAAACTCCTAGGTCCTTTTCGTACAAACCAAAGCATTATCCTCAAAGAGTTTACAGTTGAGTGAATTGTAACTAACGTTTACACACAAATGGAATAACCTAATGTAGATGAAATAGATTTTGCTTGCAATATTTCTGTAATTCTAATTTTCATCTTTTATCCCTTTCTGCTTCCTTCAATCTCCATATAATTTTTGTGTCTCTTTCAAAGACCGCCTAAGT